AACCTGAAACCTTTGTTCTGGGTAGGCTAATGATGTACCAATGACACTGACTGAGGTGAAGTTACATCACTGGAAGTAAAGAGGATTACACTCAGTATGTGCAGAGTTTCATAGTGAAATGCTGAACATAAAGACGCCAAAAACTATGACCATTTCAAATAATTGAAGTGGTTATGGTGCTCGTAGTAACCCTTAAAATGCATGATAACACTTTGCCTATTGACCTTGGAGAAAACCGCAATTCTAAACATGCAGCTCTAAGTACATCACATGCAACTATTGTATCACACAATGACTTTCCTGCAGCTGACCTTTATTAAACCGGCACACTCGCATAAAAAGCTGTGTCTCTGGCCCGTAACACTCTAGGTTAGTCATGCACTCACAGACCCCACATTAAAGGGAACCGCTCTTTGACACACACACAACTTGTTAAGCAAACATTCAATAAAGGTTCCAAGAAACTTGTTTATTCTGAACATTCTTTTGTGCAAATGAAATCTTTGTATCCCCACACAAATGTCAGTTTACAAAACACTGAGCTATATAATCCATGAATTTCTTTTTATGGTCTATACATACATCACTACTTACTCTGTTCCCTCCCTTTAATTCCATTACCTGACCATCCTTCATCTTATATTTAAATATAATGACACTTCCATATCTTTCATTATTTAAATGTTCTCTCTTATAGAGGCCTTTCAATCAGTATCTTACAACTCCCAAAATTACATTAGATACCATAGTGTTGGAAGAAGCTGAAATTGTTGAACATTGTCAAAATGCTGAATGCTCAAGAGTCTTGAATGGGTGCTTGTTTGAAAGGGGGTTATCTTGAAAAAAGGAAGATGCCTCAATCCATATTGGTAATGGGAAAAGAGTCTTTATTTATATTTAAAACCATGACTGGGACACACAGAGGGAAATACTGGATCAACACTGACATGTTCTTACCTCTGATGTAGTATCGGTGAAGGCACAAAATGTGTCAGCATCACCTGGGATACATAAAAAATTGGGGTGGAGGGAACATCCTATTGTGCCCCATGCTGCTGCAGGTGGGAGCTCTAATTAAAAAAAATTGGGGGAGATTTATAATTTCCCCCAGCTCTCACCCATAAGTGGAGGGTGGTGGCTATAATATTTATTATGACCCGAGGGGAGGAGGCAAACAGGAGAAAAAAAGCATTTAGTTATTAATTTTATTATTAAGTCTATACGTTTACTTCAGCTGTCAAAGTTTTCAAGGCCATTTATTGAGGATTATGTCCATGATGCAATTAATTGAATTGCTGAGCCTGAGAATTCAAATGTTATAACATATTTATTGGATTTGATATTGGAACCGATAATTATCAATTTTTAAAGGCGGGGTTTCGACTTTTCGTTAAATGACTTAGTGGAAGACGATAGTTACAGCTGATACGTGTTATCAGCAATTTAAGTTAAAGCATTGGTGTCATCCTGCATAGCACGATGCTCCCGAAAACTGTGAATGATGTGAAAACAGTACTCGTCTATGAGAAGCATCCTGCTGACTCAATTTAACGAGCTTTCCGAATGATTCAATACGGTTAGAAAAATTTCCAAATGACTTATCTACAAAAATCTCTATAGACTTTATGACTACTTCTGTAGTTACACGATTAGAAAAGCTTTTCTAACAGTACTGACTCATTTGGAAAGCTGATTAAATCAAGGCCAAAGTGATGGATAATCTCTGAAGAGGAGGAGCAGCTTCTGGGTGGAGACTGGATTACCTGTGATTTTAATGGCAATTTTTTTTTTTTAAATCTTAAAAGTTCATGAGTCTGGCCGGTACAGGGAAGGTGTCTCAATTTAGAGCTTGACAATGCTACAGGTGCTGGGATTGAGGTGGAATTGTACAACTGTAGCTTGTAATGTATATGTGAATGTGAGTATATGAGAGAGTATATCTTTGTATGTATAGGTATGGCGGTAATGTTGCACAGGGTGCAAATTTTAAATGTTTGCCACTTTTTTTTTGCCCAATTTTTATGTTTTTTTGTAAATTACATTTCTTTGCAAGGTTATACATAAGGAGTTAATACTCCCCTCTCTCCAGTGGTGCATCACAGTTAGTCACTGTTGACTCCTACACAATCACGAATGACAACCGAGATCAGGAAAGGTCAGAAGACAGCATTTCTGAGTGCCGTCATCTTAGAAACTTTAAGATGGTGGCGCTGTCAAAGAAGACCCAGCAAGCACATTGGAAAAAAAGGATAAGTTGTACATGTCTGGGGATCTCAAAAGGTTGTTTTTTTTTTGGTTCAATAGTGCAAGAGGGAGAGATTTAATATGTTTTAAAGCTGCTTTAATGCTGTAAATTTGGAGTTCATGCTGCAGCTGTGTATGTCCAGGAGTGTTGTGTTTCTTTGAAGAACGGATCAATGTGAGTATATTTCTGGGAGTATAGATCTTCAGGTCACAAGGGAGAAGATGACTTGCCATTGTGGAATTAAATTTTATACCCTTGGTTTATAGGGTTTGCTAGATTTGTTAAAGCTAGTTACACTGCAACCTAAAGAACTCTCAGATAAAAGAAACACAGACAAACAAGGAGGCAAAACCTAGCATTCCTGCAGAGCAGATGTGTTGAGCGCAAGCCTTTGCGAACCTGATCATTTTTTTGGGTGCTAACCCCAGTCAATCTGCAACTACACTAACCAAATAGCACTACCTAAGTTGGGGATTCCCGAGTGACCACTCTGACACTTGAATCAAGCCTGTACCCAGCCGGGAACCTGACCTGTTCTCAGTGGTGTATCCTGGTTTTGTGCTGCCCTAGTTTTCCGACGCTTTTGGCAGAGAATACAAGACCACACACAGGCAACCTAGTCTGAGTGGCAGGAAGAATCAGAGAGCACAGCACAGTCACCTCTCCCTATGGCAGGAGTTCAGAGGAGCAGGCAGCAGAGATTGAGAGGGCCCCCCGTCAGGCACAGCACTTGTGAATGCTCCTACTCTCCTTCATATTATCCCACCTGGGTTTAAGGCCTCTAGGGGTTTTGCCTCAACGCATTGCCCACACTGGCAGAGGATCACGTGCCGCAAGAGGTAACTGACCATCAAGCCCTCATGCACACCTGCGGGTGGATGTAACTCGGCCTCCGGGAGTTCCTAAGTTTGTGGCCCAGAGATCCTGGCCTATACATCGGGGTCGCCCAGTCTCGCTTCTGTCTTACAACTGCTTCATGTCACTCACCTGCAGATTCCAGTGACCATCCAGTATTGGGAATCTGGTGATGGTGACTCTTCAGGCCTACTAAGATTGACTGTCTTATTTGTCTAGCATACACCATTCTGCTCTGATACTTTTATATAAATTTGACATGCCTACAGCCTAGGGCAATAGTTTCTCCTGACATATCTTACGCACCTACTAATGTGTTTAGTGCATATGGTTACTATGCTCTCTCAGCTGCACATGTAGCATCACTCATACATGTCTGCTTATTTCTAACTACTATATCACTTGATATCTGGCCCAGTTTTAGACATGTATATCTTGTTTGTTTCATTTTCATTGCGTTATCTTAAAAAGTAGACTGCCTAATCTAGAATGTGTTTCAGTATACCCGTGATCATTTCAAAGGTCGTGCTTTTGTCAAAACTCCTATTGTATATATGTTTATTGTATTACCTAAATGCCTAAAGTAAAAGAAAGATTGACAAAAAAAGACAAACAAGTGATAGTTATAAAACCAATTTAAGGTTAGTAAAGAAATCAAACAATAAACATGAGCAAATATGTAGATAAAACTGGAAATGGAAAGCATACCAGAATATGCATGACTTAATGTTGATGCCGAAATTAACTCAGTTTGAGCAAAATAGACAAAGCGGGATCAGCCCACATACAAAATATAACGTTTAAAATCTTTCAAGTCTACATAAAATAATTTCCGTTATGCAACAAAATATGGGGAATTGATCACACCAATCTCCAAAGCAGAACACAATTTTATTTATTCATAGGAAACATAAATTAAGCTAGGGTCACCTATAATCTTGCTACAGAATGTTCATGTTTTTTTTTTTGTTTGTTTGTTTTTTTTATGAATAATCATGCAAGAGAGTACAGAAATATAGCCAGAACAAGAGCCAGGACATTCATCTAAACTTTTTGTAATTATATATATATTATTTTTTTTGTGCATTTCATGTTTAGCATCATACAGAGGAGCTCTTCAAAAAATATTTTGAGCTGTCAATGTGTCTTGTAATGCATCCAATGGTAAAATCAACATAACCCCCTTATGGGGGAGCAACAAAAAGTGGAGGAAAATTGATTAAAAAGGCAAAATAAGCCACCAATGTATAAATGTGGAGTAACAGTTTTATACATTAAAAATTGTACATGCACACAAAACTGGCGCAAACATTATAGTGAATGTGACAATTTTTCTACATAACCCCAAAGTGGTGGAAAGGCACATAAGGAATATTTTGGAGCAAATAACATAATAAATGAGTCAAAAAATGAAATGTAGCAGAAAAACACCCTAAAATTACACTCATTACACATGTTGTGGTATAAATTCAGCAGACAGCAATGTTTTCGCTCAGGTATGAAGACAAGGAATGAACACAGCAGAAATACGAGCTCGGAGGGCAGTACTCATCCACACAAATGTATGGCAGAGCACTGCTTCTGATTTAATGGGAGAAGACACAGATCTCATATCCAATTCTGTACATATCCAAAAAGGGGTTGTCTTCACACAATACATTAGATTTTACATACAGTCATGTCCAGTGAAATGCATCGTCAAAGAACTTGAAACACTTTCCAACAGTTATAAAGATAAGGTGTTAACAGGGTATAGGGGGCTGGGGGGAACAAGAAGAAGATACAAATCAGGATCAAAGGCCAGCTGTTATAATAGAGCATCCTGTAGCCCATGGAGCAGCGTAGCTAAGGGGAGTGGGCATTGACATTGCTAGGAGACAGGCACCTACTTACAGTTAGCTGGGGATTGGCCAAAGAAAATGAAAGTGGGGTGGAGTTATAATGGGAGTATAAGAAGGGGCCATTTTAAGTCTAAGGGACATTTTAATCTAAGTTGCACTTACCTGTTGTTCTGGCAGGATTTGTGTGGCTTTTTTCTTTGTCTCCTCTGCAGGTTTCTGGCAAGATGGAAGATTGGCTGGCAGGAGTCCGGGCAGCAGTGCAGGAGAGGAGCGTCGAGTGGCTGAGAGACCGCCTTGGGGATGCCTTGCCGTCCGGCTCTGGGAGCTCCCTGGGGCAGAGGCCTGCCAGGAGGACAAGGCCCCCTCAGCGGTTAAGCCCCAGTGCGGTTCTGGGTTCCCGATGTCCACAGAGCCCTTCTGGTGGTACCGACGGCTGCGGCGAGGCTGCTGGGGAGAATGCCGCAAGTGGAGGAGGTCGCGGGAGGCGTTGCAGTGCTGCCGCACGAACAGGGCGTCAAGTGAGGCTGGAGTTGCTGGCTGCTGGTTCCGGAACGGAGGTAGAGGAAGTGGCGAAGGGGCTGAAACTGCTGAACGTTCGGGAACCGAACACAGAGGTACGAGAACTGCCTAACGTCCAAATGGCAAACCTGGAGGTGTGAACTCTGACGACCATTTGTTTTCTGAACGGGGAGGTAAAAAAAGTGCCGAACGTTCGGTAGTTGAACGTGGAGGTAGCCGTACTGTCGACCGTTCGGTTGCCAAACGGGGAAGCAGGAAAACTGCAGAGCATTCGGTTTTTGCTTCTTCTGTTGCAGGTATTGCAGGAGAGGTGGCTGCTGGAGTCGGGAGTTCGGGCAAAAGACCTTTGCAGAAGAGGATCAGCAGGAAAGGGAGGATCGGCACGGCAGGCTTTGCAGCGAGACCTGAAAGTGCTGTTGGTGGTGGTGGAGCTGGGACAGCTGTAGTTCCTCGCCCGGGTGAGTCGACCTCTGACACCATTGCCCCTCCGGTTGCTATGCCAAGGGTTGCCCCGGTGGTGGGTCCCAGTACAGTTACAGTTGGTAGGCAAGGGGCTAGTAGGGCAGCGACTGGACCTAAGGGTCATGGTGCTTCACGATGCTCCAGAGTCTCCCCGGACAGCTTGCAGGAGTGCTTCACCTGGGTCTCCCATATGACCAGGACGGGGACGACGGGGGGCGAGTCAGGCCGCTCTAGAGGGATCGGAGGGGGGTGACAGCGAGTGACAGCTCTGGGGGACTGCAGCTCGCAGGGAAGTAGCGCACCTGGCACAGGAGAGGGACACCAGGCCCATTAGGGGCGCTGGCAGGCAACGGTCGCGTAGCAGTCATCGTAGGGAGCCGGACGGAGACAACAGGGTGCCCTGCGGGGCAGGCTACCCCCGAGGGCGGAGCAGGGTCTCCACTGTTTGGACGGTGGGGCTGGAGGCGGCAGAAGGACAGTTCCATGAGTGGGAGTTCCCTGGAAGGGGGTTATGGTTCCCGCGAAGAGAGGGGACGGGGCAGGGTTACCACGGCCAGCCTACCCAGGATGTCTTCTCCTTTCAGGTCGCAGAGATGATCGCCTTCGGAGAGGGTGAGGTCGCATGCCGGGAGGACAGCAGGACAGTCGCCCGCAGATGAGGTGGACCTTGTTACTGGACAGGGGTCTTCACGGTCGCCCGTGGATCGGGTGAGATCTGGCACTACGGGAGTACGGCTCGACACAGTGGAGCGCTTGGATCAGGACAGCCGTGGTCGATCAGCAACCCCACGGCCTTCGGCACCAAGGGGTTCGGAAGGTGAGACATCGTCTTTGCAGCACTCAGGGGAGCTGTTAGAGGGCATTAAATACTTCATTCTTGGGGTGCGGGAAAAGGGAGAGTCTGGGATTGCAGTCAGGTGTGGGCTCCGCAAGGGGAGGTTTCAGGGTCTAGTCGGGTGGGAGTCGTGGCCGCCGGGGGCAGCAGGGATGGGGAGTTGGGCGCGACCTCCACGGTGGTGGCGTCTGAGCTGGCGAGTGAGAGGGCCAGCTTACTTGGGGGAATCCCAGAGGCCGCGCTGCAGAACGTACACATTTCTTTCGCGGGTCCTTTAGGCTGTCACTTAAAACTGGAGGTGAAGGAGCATATCTGGAAAGGGGAGTTCGTGGAACTCTTTTCAGTTCTCCCCCTGAAGAACTACCTTGACCTCAAGGAGGAGGATAAAAAGGACATTAAGAAGGAGGAGGAGGAAAAGAAGAGGCAGTATAGGAAGATCCCTAAGATGTTTGGGAATTGGTTAAGGGCATTCTGCATCTTGGCCAGTGTGATGGGCGAGTAGGCGGCGGAGCGCTGTTGGAAGCTCTTTTGCTACTTGGATGGCGTTTGGGAAGTGTATCGCACATATGGGGGTCTCGCGTGGTGGCGATACGACGAGCAGTTTTGTCAACACCTGGCGACTAATCCGGGAATGCAGTGGGACCAAATGGATCTTACGCTCTGGATGAAGCTTATGATGGCGCAGAAGGCATCTCCCTTTCAGCCAGGGGCCGGCACGGGCGCTTCCACCGCCGTGTCGGGCAACCAAAAGCGGGGCTATTGTTGGCTCTATAACGAAGGGCAGTGCAAATGGGGGGTTACATGTCGTTTCAAGCATGAGTGCTCCAGTTGTGGAGGTACCCACGGACTGCACAGGTGCTTCAAAAAAGGTAAGGCAGCCGCCACGGGAGGGGTGTCCAGGGGTTCGGCCTCGTCCACTGCAACTGGGGGCAACGCCGGTGAAGGTCGGTGCGATGCTACCTTAGCTAAACAACTACGTTAACAGGGAGGATGTGGGAGGAGGGCTTTTCGAAAGGGTTTGTGATCCCGTTTCCGGAGAGGGTAACGGTACCTCGACTTCGCAATCTAAAATCTGTAGGGGAGTTTCCGGGGGTGGTTAGGGAGAAGTTGTTTAAGGAAGTTCAGTTGGGCAGGATGGCGGGCCGTTCAAGGACCCCCCTCTTCCAAATTGCTTGAGTTTTTTGGGCTTGTAGATAGACTCGGTTAGAGGGGAGTGTTGGCTGCCGCAGGATAAGTTGCTGGCGCTTCGGAAGGCAGTGGCTGAGGTGCAGGTAGCTAAGAAAGTCACGCTCCGGACGCTTCAATCATTGCTGGGTCGGCTAAACTTTGCCTGTCGGGTGATTCCGGTTTGTAGGGTCTTTAACAGGTTCTTGGCTAGGGCAACAGGGGGGGTGGTGTTCCCGCACCATCTTATTTGGGTCTCGGCGGCTATGAAGGCCGATCTGGATGTCTGGGTGGCCTTTTTACGGGATTTTAATGGGAAGGTGTTTTTTCGGGAACCGGCGGCATCTTCCCTGGACTTGGAGCTCTTTACGGACACATCGGGGAGTATCGGTTTCGGGGCTTATTTCGCGGGCCGCTGGTGGGTGGGAACTTGGCCGGCGGCATGGAAGGCCAGCCCGCTGATCTGCAAGGGAGATGGGGTAAAATTGGAGTTCGGGGCTAATAGGTAGGCCTTTGGACTGGTTTGGTAGGTTCGAGCTCGTCGGTAGCTCCGAAACCTGGGTGTGTAGGGGTGTCTCGGTATGCCCCTACAATTGTGGTGCCCTTTGGTGGCAATGGTGGTGTGCAACGATGTTTTGGGTATTATGTTTATGTAGGAGTGGGTCATTGTCAGGGGGTTTAAATGGTAAAATGCAAGATGGAAATTGTGCAGGCCAATGTTGGCATGCTGTTGACAATGACCTTTAAATTTACTGTTACCAATTAATAAAGCTGTGATATAATTTTGCCAAAATTATGGTGTCAGTGTTTTATTGGGAAATGGTTAAAGGTGGGGTTATGCATGTGCCGATAAGGCGAATATGCAAATGTCATTGACATTACTCAATCATTGTGTGGTGTGACACAGGATATAAGGGGGGGGGGGGAAAGGTGCTCATTAACCCATATCATTCCAATCTTTTATTCTGAAACAATAACATATCAGTAAATTAATTAATTGTCTATTATAGCACTCAGGGAAGAAAAAAAAACTTCAGAACCGTTATTTCTGAAGAAAATCTCTGGGGAGCCATGTGTCACGTATTCATCTGCACATAAAAATGTGATTAATGGCATTTATTGTCCTGACAGGAAAAGGTGTGCCCAGCAGCAATCAATCCACAGGAGGGTTTGTGCTGAGCAGCAATCAATCCATAGGAGGGTTTGTGCTGAGCAGCAGTCATGCAAATAGGAACCTGGTAACTGCCTTTGGGGTCAAAGGCCGGTTACAACCAATCAGATCCACAGGCCCAGTTCTCCTCTTGCTCTGTGCCCTGACGTGGTTTCCCTTGTGGTTGTCCGAGAGCGCGTTATTGATTCTGTTTTTTCTGGTTATTTGACTTTGGCATTGATATTGACTTCCCTGTTTTCTGGCATCCATGACCACTGGCTTTTCCTTATCGTTGTGTCTCTTTCTGTATCCCTTGACCTCGGCTATTTCTGACTATTCTTTGGTACGTTAGTCTGGCCATTCTAAGGTCCGGTATACGTTACCTATCAGTCCTCTCTGTTACATAATTCTACGTGCTGTAATCCTGACACCATGGCTATAACAAGTATGTCCCTCCCTCCTGGATGAATTAAGGTTTAAGAAACAATTAGTTGAATTTAGGGCTTGGTATAAATTCTTTGCAGTTCTAATAAAATGATTGTCTGTTTCCCATGATGAAGGGGATAAAGCCTGCTTAGAGTGTGATATATTAATAATATATTTTACTATCACTGTTCTTTGGGACCAAATAACATTTATCATTGCATAACCAAGTCCCATGGAAAGAAGAATAATTAATGTGCACTGGGCACTATTCTTGATCATTCTTTGTTTGGAATATCTGGAGGTCTTGATGTGGAACAGCTTTTTAATCAGCTTGCATGAATCCATGTCTGGTTCTCCTCGGTCAGAACGGCTGTTCGGGTGATGGCAGCAACGGTTGTCGAAGGACCATATGGTGGATCAAAGGTTCCGGAATTGAAGAAGGACTTCACAAAGACTTGGTCTCCAGGCCTGAAATGATGTGTGGTAGTACCTGCAGGGTTAGGAAGAGATAGAGACACATCACCGTAGATGCCATTCAATTTGTCTACAAAATTCAATACATAGTCATCTAACACAACATTTAGAGCTCCGCTAACCATCGGAGCACCTTTGGACTTACACCATGGAGTTGGAAAAGGTCTCCCCATTAAAATTTCAAAGGGTGAATAACCCGTAGTTGAACTAGGGGTCATTCTGATCTCAGCTAAAACGGCTGACAAATTGTCTGGCCAATTGCGTGTGCTACCCAACCCTCCTTTTGTCAATTTCTCCTTCATCATTCTATTCATCCTTTCTACTTGCCCTGATGACTGATGGTGTTTGGGTAAATGAAATTTCCAATCTATACTCAACATTTTTCAAACCTGCTGTGTAACTACTGAAGCGAAAGGAGTTCCTTTATCACAATTAATCATAGCTGGGCAGCCAAAACATGTCTACAATGACAAGTAAATACTTGAGTCCACCTTTTGCCGTTGCCATATGTGTGAAGTCAATTTGTAAATTTAACATTGGGCCTTGCACATGTTAAGCACCAGGATAAAATGTTGGTAACTGTCTGATCTAACCTGTTAATTACAAATCGTTATTTTAGCATAGCCAATACCCCTCTTATGCCGACATGTCCATAGCCATGGAACTGTCGGACAAGTAACACAGAAGAAGTTTGAGCGATTGCTATGCGACCTTTAGGATCCTTGAGAAGTTGCATCAGGTGTAAAAGAATGTATACTCCAGTAAGTTAAGTCTTCCGAAAATGATGCAGCCTGCATAGAAATAATATCAATATCATCAGTATGAGGGGCTGTGTGCACTGCAGTTAAGACCTAGTCACAAGAAACAGTACTGTAATTTGGCCATAAAGGAAAAGAGGCAGCCGCCTTTTTCGCCACCAAATCTGCAAAATCATTACCATCCGTGACCATGGAGTGACCTGTATCATGGCCCTTTCACTTCACAAGAGCTAAAGATCTAGGTATCAGTATGGTCCTCAATAATCCATCAATTAATGCAAAATGAGAAACAGTTCGACCATCAGCTGCAACAAAGCCTCTAGCCTGCCAAATGACACCAAAATCATGAACCACTCCAAAGGCATATCTTGAATCAGTATAAATAGTCACATCTTGACTGTTAAAAGCAATACAAGCTTGTGTAAGAGCAATCAACTCCGCCGCCTCCTCCCTCACTCTGTCGCCTCCTGCTCACTCTGCCATTTGTCACCCCCTTTCACTTTCTGTCACCTCCTTTCACACTGTCACCCCCTCTTAACACACTCTATTACCTGTTACCCCCTCCCTCCCACACTCTGCCACCTGTCACCCCCTTTCACACTCTGTCATCCAACCTCCACACTCTGTCATCCCCTCCATGCACACACACAGTCACCCCCCTCGACACACTGTCACCACTCCCCACTCACAGTCTCTCTCCCACACACACTGTCACCCCCTTTATCCCCTCCTGATCCTGTCACACTGACCCCCTGCAACAAAACTGCATTCACCTCCCCTCGCTCTGCCACACTCGAATTGACCCCCTACTGTTACACTCACCTTTTCTCTCAGTGTCATGCTCCTCACTTCTCTTCCTGTCACACTCCCTCCACCAACTGTGCCGCACTCACCCTTAACCCTGCCACACTCCCTGTAACATTAACACCTCTAATCCTGTCACCCCCAATCACTCTGCCACATTCACCCTATTACATTTTCACCTCTAATCCTGTCACCCCCTGATCACTCTGCCACACTCACCCTGTTGCATTAACACCTCTAATCCTGTCACAACCCCATGACTCTGCCACACTCACCCTGTCAATTAACCCCCTTAATCCTGTCACATTCAACTCCCCTTGCCCTATCACACTCACTCCAATAATGCCATATACACACCAACCTTGTGATACCTCCCCAAACATGCCACATTCAACCTGTCACATTAGCAATTTAATCCTGTTACACTTACCTTATCTCACCCTGTAACACCCCCTTCTCCAACCATGTCACACTTGCCCTCCCTCCAGGGCCGTCTTTAATAACGAATGGACCCTGGGCAAGTGTTTGCTTGGGCCCCCTGTGCCCTGCCGCTCTCGCCCCTCACTCCCTGGTATGCAATCACGGCATCCATCCCAACGCAGTGGCGGTACTAAAGTAGAATTAATTTTATTGGGACCCCCAATTGCAAGGTTGGACTAAAGGTAGAACCCCATCTGTCGTGCAACTCCAACAATGCTTTGACAGCTGGGACTCTACCAATTTCCCATGCTTGCAGGGTTGTATTTAGTACTGAGCCATGTTAGTATGTTTGAATGTAAGCATGTGTTTGTATGGAGTATGTTTGTGTGAATGTGTTTGTATGTGGTACTGGAGTTTGAATGCAAGTGTGCATTTATGTGTAGTGTTTGTTTTTGAATGTAGGAGTGTGCTTGTATGTAGTGTTGACGTTTCAATGCAGGAGTGTGTTTTATATGTAGTGTTGAAGTTTGAATGGAGGGGTGTATTTGTATTTAAAGTTGCGCTCAGATGCACAGGTACACACTCTGACGCACAAGCAGATACACAGATACATACACTGACTACATACAGATAAACAGGCACATACACTGACAGACATACTGACACAGGTACATATATTGACACACACACAGACACATACACTGGTAGACGTACTGACAGACATACGGACACAGGCACATATACAGACATACTGACACACAGACACATATACCGACATACTGACACACACACACAGACACATACACTGATCAACATACTGACACACATATACTGACAGAAATACTGACACCCACACACTGACAGATATACTGATACCCACATACACTGAGAAATACTGACACACACACACACAGGCACATACACTGACACACACAGACTGATATACTGACACACACACACACACACAGACATACTGGCACACAGACAGATATACTGACACATGCATACACATGCACTAACAGATATACTGACGCACTGACAGACATACTGACACATACACATACTGACACACACAGATATACACACACATATATACTGACACACAGACAGACAGACATACTGACACACAGACAGACAGACATACTGACACACACACACACACACACTAACACACAGATACACTAACACACACACACTAACACACACATACACTAACACACACACACACTAACACACATACACAAACACACACACTAACACACATAAACACACACATACACTAACACACACATACACTAACACACACAAACACACAAACACTAACACACAAACACTAACACACACACACACACAAACACATACACTAACACACTAACACACACATACACTAACACACAAACACATACACACATGATTTTTTTTTTATGTAATCCCCCCAGCCTCCTTACCTTTTGGAGTGCTGGGGGGATTCCCTGGGGTCCAGTGGTGCTGCTGGGCTCCTGGGCTCCTGGGCGGGTGGCCGGTTGGGCATGAAGGCAGGCGCGCGAGGGAGCACTCACTGCTTCCTCTTCAGCTCCCTCGCGCGCCGCGTAGGGATTCCGGCGCCGGATGACGTCATCTTCCGGCTCCGGCATCAGTGCGGTGCGCGAGGGAGCTGAAGAGGAAGCAGTGAGTGCTCCCTCGCGCGCCCGCCTTCCTGCCCGACCGGCCACCCGCCCGCCCGCCGGGGTCAGCGGGGCCCACGGGGCAGGTGCCTCGGGCCCCCCAAGAGAAACTGGGCCCGGGGCAGCTGCCCCGTTTGCCCCGCGTTAAAGACGGCCCTGCCTCCCTCATTCTCACACTCACCCCCCAACCCTGTCTCATTCACTCCCTCATCCTGCCACAGTTACCCATTTACTCACCCTGTTACAGTCACCTCTGAAGACAATCATCATACACACAAAGTTATAAAACATAGCTTCACCATAAACAATATGCACAAAGGCCACAGGCAGCCCCCATATACACAAAACACTGTAAGCAGCTACCACACACACATACGGTCCCAGTTTCAAACATACACATGCTCACAGAAACATACATTCACATACAAGGAAACTCACTGCCAGACACACACTCTCAGGCACATGCACAGGTAGACAATGCCAGACACACCAAGCAAGATAAATACACATTGTGACTGTATGTCTGTATTATTTAATTTTTGTGTCTCTGCGCATCATGTGTTTGTGTATGTATGCATGTGCATGTATCAGTGTGTATATGTATTTGTGTATGAGTGTTTATATGTATTAGTGTGTGTGTCTATGTCTGTAATGTGAGGGTGGTATGGACAAAGCAAAGATAAAGTTGCAAGCAACATATATATATTATATGCATACACACATATACAATGCATGGGGAAACACATATATAATAATACACCCTGTTCCAAATTATTATGCAAATTATATTTTTCTCAGTTACCTAAATAATTGATGTAAATAACAGTCAGCATAATTCTCATGTTATCAACTATTAACAGTACAATTCAAATTGTATTGAACAAACCTCCTAATGATAACAGTATTTTTTTTAAACATAAAAAATGTACAATGCACTGTTCCAAATTATTACGCACAGTAAGTTTCAAAACACTTTATAGGTTGTAAAGAACTGAAAAGTTTAATTTGTTGTGTTTGCAGCATATTTACTGAAATCAAAAGCTATTTCAATCAAACTTATAACAACATTTTAACAGGTCAAGTTACATTTTAACATAGGGCCCCTTATTTGATTGCAGCTTCACAAGTCTTGAATCCATTGAACTTGTGAGTTTTTGGACAGTTTCTGCTTGAATTTGTTTGCAAGATGTCAGAATAGCCTCCCAGAGCTGCTGTTTGGATGTAAACTGCCTCCCACCCTCATACTGTAGATCTTTTGCTTGAGAATGCTCCAAAGGTTCTCAATAGGATTGAGGTCAGGGGAGGATGGAGGCCACACCATGACTTTCTCTCCTTTTATCCCCATGGCAGCCATTTATGTAGAGGTATTCTTTGCAGCATGAGATGGTGCATTGTCATGCATGAAGATGATTTTATTACGGAAAGCATAGTTCTTCCTTCTGTACCAGGGAAGAAAGTGGTCAGTCAGAAACTCCACAT